TTTTTTTTTTCTTTAACCGAGGTCGTTCAGACTACCTTTAGCACGATAGAAGGGGGTACGAACTTCTGTGTGGGACTTGCAGTCTGCTTGAAGATGTTGTTTTCTATTGTGATGTTTGTAGTGATACAGACTAAATATCTACTAAACTGGCAAGACCTTTTTCCTAAGACGCCTAGCTGGGGATCCGTTTTTGCATTAAAATTTCAAGCAGGAGTTACATAGTATTGACCGTTGACGTGACCTTCCATACGGGTGTTGTAACTGTCCCTGCCTTCTCTTTTTTTCGTCTGGTCATTTTCTGTCTCTTTCTGACCCTTTTTTCGTCGTTTCTTATGAATCCTATCTCTTCCACGGTATTTGCTTGGCTTTTGACCAGAGTATTTCTATCCTTAACTCCTCTAACCTTGAGAAGAACTTAGTTCTTGGTCGTGGTGACTCCTTTGACAGTAATTTCAGCCTATTCTGGCTTGAAATCTGACCTCATCTTTTTGAGAACTTCATTAAAACTCTGCTCTTCCGCGACCTAAACAAGAATTTTTTTCCTGTTTTTTATGAAATGATGTTGCTCCTCCTCGTAAGATTATCATGAGCTCGTTCCAAGAGGTGATTCATCTTCTTTTTCGTCGCCTCATAACTATCCTCAGACTTATTCTAGAGATTTAGCGCCACTATTATACATACTTTAATTTGTATCGCAGTTTTTGTGTATTTTGTTTTGCCGCTTCCACCATATGTTTGATCATCAGTTCAAGTTCTGAGAAAACAAAGCTGTCTTTGTCTGCTTAGCAGTTAGTTCTAATCTTATATTCCTGGAATATTTCAGGTGCATGTCAGCGTTGTTGCTGCAAAAGCTGACAACACTTTTATCTAAGGTCATCTCCTCCAGCCTTCCGGATGTAGTACTACAAAGGATAGTCTGATAAACCACTATCTCCGTGCGGTCGCTTAATGATGATGCGTACCCTCTCACTGGCACAGTCGCCGGTGTGGGAGCTCCGATGCCAGTTGTACGACAAACCATCATTTTTATTATTATTATTATTATTATTATTATTATTATGATTATTATTATAGAAGTTATACTTTTACTGGCGCGTTCTGCCCTACATAATAAATCAACGATCTCAGATTGGTGACCTTGAGAAAAAGTGTAACAGAAGTAAATTGTGCTTAATTCTTTCCCCTTTGCCCCACCCTACATGACAGACTTCCGGTCCCCCACACGCCACACAACGTCATAGCACCACACTCACTACAGCACGCATTTTCAATTTATTTCTGTTAACAAAAAAAAAAAGTTTCCAAATAGATTTCAACCCCCAACCTCTTGCATATTAGGCAAGACCCTTACCCACTCTGCTATGATTAGGCCCGATATGGAAAATTCGATTACTTTATCTTATCGTACAGTTCGTTGCTTATTTTATTGTAAATTTTTATTTACTGTGAATTAACTTATTTAGTTTGAGTATACATTTAATAAGTAGATAATTTATTTAATGAAATATATTCTGTAGGTAGATGTTTATTTCGAAAATAAAAAAATTTTTATATATGTGTTCTCTTTTTTTGTAAACGTATTTATTGGCAAAATGATTGTGAGCAAATAGATCAAGCGAATGTCTTACTACTGCTTTTAAAATTTTTCTGTACAAAATTAATGGTAATGAAAGTATATTTTCAGTATTTAAAGTGATTTTTGGTATAAAAACTCGTTGTCCAATTTTTTAACCGGTTATTATTTTTGACTCAAGATTGACTTTAAACAACTTCATTATTTTTAACCTTGCGCTATTACATAAACCATCCGAAATACTGAAATTTCTTATCAACACAACTCCTACTCCAATATTTAAATTAAGTTTATGAGGTGGTAGGCCTTCACCGATACTGTTTAGTATTTATATGAAAAATTAGATATAGATATTATCGTGAGATTGGTCAACTCGTGTAAATGTTGCTTTATCAATAGTGTAATATTTACTTCTTTTTTTTTTGGTTCCCAATGTACAGAATTTGAATATTCGTTTTACATGTTTTTGACACCCTACAAGACAATCTTTTGTATTCTTGCTCGCATTAATTCGACTTTGTCTTATTAACCTTAGTTACTAAGTCTTCTATCATTCTCAAGCTATTCGCCGCGCTCTGTATCTATCTAAATCCACATTTTCGCTTGTAACTGCATTTTTCTTTGCGCTGCTCAATTAATAGTTGACCTTACATTTTCTTGGTCCGCTGTATTTTACGCTGGGTAACGCTATCTAATCTTACATTATAAGCAGTCTTTTTCTTTAAATTTCTATTATTATTAACTAGCCTCTCGGCTTTCGATCCATTTCATTTTTTTAATTCTTTAATATTTTACATAGACTGCTGATCGGATCCCCGTCTAGTAATTTCAATAATTTTTCTCTAGTTTACTTATTTGTGCCTAAAAATTTCCGTTCTTGAACATCTTTAAACCATCCATCACTAATTCTTACCTTTATATCTTCGCATACAAATATGTGTTCTACTTTTTCTGGTTCCTTTCCGTATGCCCTGAAATTTTTGTCCTGGAATCACTTCTTTCCTGCACTTCCTATATCCCGGCATTTCAACCTTGTTCATTTTTTTTTTATTTTGTCCTTTATCTGTCTATCTTTTCAGTATTTTTCAATNAGTTTCCAAATTTTTGAAAAAAATGCATACCAAAAAAATACATTTCATTTAATGAATTATTTATTTAATGTTTAATTAAACCTAAACTAAATAAAAAGTTGCATTAAACATATGTTACATGTTTTTTTTTTTCTTTCTTAGAAATTTGTTAAAAGAAAAAGAGTACTTAGTAAAATTAGTGAGAGTGAGAATACAACAAAATCCACTTTCGTTAAACTTTTTCTCAAGGTCACCAATTTGAATTCGTTGATTTACTCTGTAGGGCAGAACTCGCCTACAGAAGGATAACTTTAAAAAAATTTTGTACTGTATAAATACAACAATTGATTTTTATTGCGTTTTCTTCTTTCACAATTTTCCCTTTGTGATGAAGGTAATTTTTTGGCATAAGGACGTTTATCACATACTTAGTAGGGGTAAAGTTCAGCTCAAAATTCGTAATTAAACAGGTTTATTTAATAGTACTCTTTCATACAAACAAAAATTAGGAGGTTTATACAGATCTTATAAATGTAATTTAAAGTGATGACTTGAGGGTCAGTGCCTAAGCACACGATTAGTAAGAGCTAATTTGAGAACTCTTACAGGCTGTAAGAGTCTGTAACGATCGTCTTAACGATATAGACTGAGCCTGATAAGGTTGGCGTTAAGACCAACGAAAAGTTTCTCAAACTAACACCTGATTTTTCGGAGTTTTCATTCGTACTCCCAAATTAGCTCTTACTGATCGTGTGCTTAGGCACTGACCCTCATGTCATCATGGAAACAACTGAGAGAAAAACGACATGTTCAATAAACGACATAATGCAATTTAAAGTGATTTTTTTACAAGGTTACATGTTAACTTACAAATTCAACAAAAAGATATAGTTCAACGATCTGCTATTTTTAAGGGTATTTCTTATTTTCTTGGGAAGTTGTTTTCAAATCATCGAAAGATTCGATGAAAGTGCTCAATGTTGTACTGGCCAGCCTCCATATTGTTTATGTTGTATTGTGTCATAATATATTATTTATAATCGTTTAGTTATTAAATATTAAAATACTAATTGAAATCATACTCAATCAACGTAAGCATACTCATTTATACGATAATTGCACCACCTTTGTACACAATATCGTTTCATAGGAGGTATATTGAAATCCATAATTAAATTATCTGCCATATAATTGTATAGAAGTATAACTTGTTACTTAGGTACCCACACCCACTGTCCACTGGTTATTATGACTATTATTAGTACTGTTATTATTATTATTATTATTATTATTATTATTATTATTATTATTATTATTATTATTACCAT